ACGGAACGCCTCCGGGTCGCTCGAGCTCCGCATCGGCTCATCCGTCGTCTTCGGCAGTGTCTTCCGCCGCTCCAGCGTCGCCTCCTCACTCATCACGCTCCTCGACATCGTCCGCATCCTCGGTCCCGAGAAGCCCGTCGCTCTGAGCTTGGGTATTGAGCAGCGATGTGCTTTCGTACACCGTTCGATCCTCGTTCCTGAAGAGCTGATCGTTCGACAGACAATCATGACACCAAGCCCGTCTTTGATGTATATCTCAATCCAAATTATCTTGGTCGTTCCTTCTCGATCAATGCGCCTGCCCGGGTGGTTCGATAGAATATGATATGATGTATCGTTCTGTGTTCTCTGTATCTGTACGATGTGGTTTCTTCGAAGGTGAGTCAGTGAAGTGAATGAGTTATGATGTGTTTTGAGTTTTTCTCCAGAGGAAATTCACAACATACATACCCGGATTCAAGATGTTCCGCAAGAAGTTGGCGAATTTTCCAAGAGTGGTCTTGGCACACTCGAACACAAGCAACTTCAGCCTTCAACTGGGAAAACCAACTGCACACTTTACCAAAACCAAGACCATCATCACCCTCACTCAGCCAAGAACTCATCAAACTGTCAAACAACAACAGCAACAAAAACCAACCACCTCTAACCCAAAACAGGACTATAGCAGACTGACAACGACCCCGAATATTCATCACCATTCTCAAGACACCTGGCTCAGATCAATCCCAATCACCAGCATCGCCCAGCCAGACTACATAGCAATCTCGAACTCAAGATCTCCGGCCTTCATGTTTGCTGGTAGAGATCGATCAAAAACGCTTGATCCTTCACAATATCGCCCGAACTCCGAATTATGATTTGTAGATTTTTGCCACCCTTCATCCGCAATACCCAGCAAACCCGCTTCAAGCCTCACTTTTTTTTATAACCATGTTCGGCAAGTCGGGTGGATGTCGCTTAAGAGTAGCCGTCGACGACGATCAATGACCGGGGTTAACCGAGATGAGCGCACGGGATCAGGCAATTCTTCATATATCATCTCTTGTTAGTGTAATGTCGTTCTTTCAACATCGCAGTGTTTTTTTTTTCCTTTCAGATCTGCACCTGAGTCGCTGACTGAAGCTGGTCTGACTTGAAAGCTCTTGAAAATGATGATCCGCTCAATTTGAAAGGCCCAATGAGGAAGCAAACATTTTCAAGGAAAGCTTCGATGGCGACCAGCTCGGCACTCGGCTGCCCCTCCAATGCTTTCCTAGCCGAGGCTGTGTATCTCTAGGAAAACTCTATGTCGTCGGCACCTTCTTTGGCCGGAGTTCAATCCAGATGCTCTTCTTCTCAAGCATATTGTGCTTGTCTCTTAAAGCCGGTGGGATTTAAAAAAACCGTATTCCCATCTTTTGATCGTAGATCAGCTGATACAACAATCGCACAATTTTTCCGACAGGCTTCCTATCCTCTAGGCCATTCGCTGTCCAATCAGGTCCGCAGAGGGCTGAACAACACAGGAGCTCGGAGACCGGCGTACGTCTTCTGCAAAGCCCCCCACCTCGAAAAGAGTCGCATCTCACAACATTCCTCCTCGCCTAGAATAGATCCGCACCCCTTTTGCTCCCCACAGTGGAAATTTCTAGGATGATGATGATGATGATGGCTCAGAGCGCAGGAATAAAGAAGTCTAAGCAATGGTTCACCTCGATGATCAGACCAGTCATGATACTTGTGATCCATGTGCTCGCTTTGACCGTCGTACAACCACGCCAACACACCCCTGCATTTGTGCTCAACAATATCGACGCGGATTCTCAAGATGCCCGTCAAGTGATGGGCCCCGATGCGAATCATAATCAGTTGCCGTTCATCAGCGCTCTTGATACTGCTAGAGCCGACTTTGCCGTTCCGGTGTATACTACCTGCAGCGCACCTGGATCATTTGCACTCAGTAAATGCATCTCTAGATTGACTTCTTTGGATTTTAATTAATTAATTGAGAGAGTTGAGTTCATGACAATTTATTACTCGGGTTGGGTCGGTTCCTTAAGCCTTCGACGATGGGCCGTCGGAGTTCAGTTCAAACTTAGACGGCACCTTAGACGGCTCTAATTCGAAAGCAAGCTTTTTCATCAACGGGAATAACTTCGGTTGTATCTATGATTACGCAGAGCGTCTAGTCGACAGATTCAACAAAGGTCACTTGATTGCGTAAGTAATACAAATGCTTTCTTTCGATCTCTGTAGCTGTCTATACTTTTTTCTTTTTCTTCCTTTTCCAACCTGATGATCACTTTTTGAAATTGGTTACGGTGTCCCATTTTAGGAGTCATACTTGGTCCCACGTTCATTCAAATGAAGGGACTTACGACCAAATTGCATTCCAACTCGAATTGATCGAGAATGTAAGATTCCTTCTGTCTCATCAAACACCAAGTCTATTATTAGTATTGCATGGACTAAGCAATAAATCCGGTACCCACTAATTCTTTTTTGTTACCGATGGACATCGTGTGCCATGAAAAACAGGCTATGATCAAGATACTAGGAGTCAAACCGCTTTATTTCAGACCCCCCTACGGTTCGTCAAAGATATAGATAATCCACCTGAAACGACGAATTGAACATAACTCACTAATGAATCATTACCCTTCCATATCGGTTCGAACATTTGCCAAAAACAATATACGACCAAATCAGGAGAGTACAACGAGGTTGTGGTGAGCAGAAAGACAGATTTTTGCAGGCTGAATGAAAGCGTTTCCCTTCTCAAGACAATTTTCTGAATCGTGTGTTGGGTTTTCAGTTGCAAGTTTTGCAAGACAGGGGTTATAGAGGATTGATCCTGTGGTCAGAGGATTCAGGCGATAGTTTCGGGACACCTCCGAGCTCGTCTGAAATAATCGAAAGTTATCGCTCGTACCCCGAACAAACCAACGTCTTGAATCATGAAACTAAGTCGTTTACTGTTAATGAAGTTAGTCGAGTTCTTGATTTTGCTCTCTCTGTCTCTCTCTCTTGTGACGATTCTTTGTTTTAAGTTCTTTGTGACAACCCTTACTTCAGAAGTGATGCTTTGTTAATGCCTCATGTCTGATTGTCATTCTATCTCTAGGTTATCCCTAATGTAATCCCTATTCTGAAGGACAAAGGATTCGATTTACAAACGGTAAGATCGCATTTCTTCTGATGGTCAGAGATGATCTGACGCTTTCAAAAAAGAAAAGTCAGAGATCCAAAGCAAAACACCATGATGACCTTGCAATGATAGCGACTAATGAGTCGATCATGTTACTGTATGTGTAAAAAAAAAATGAAATTCAAAGGTCCCTCATTGCTTAAACCTAGGGTCTAATCCAAGCGACTGGTATGTCTCCGTCCAACCACCCGGATCCAGGGATGTAAGTGCATGTATCAGTCTCCGAAGTCGGACTTCTTTGCGATCATCATTTGTCCACTTTCATTTTCGAAGGATACATCTATACTAAACCCTATCTTTCTCTTTTTCGCATTTTTTTTTCTTCTTCTTTGGTGTCATGGATAGGAAACTTGGACTTGTGATGGCACCCCAATGCCTGGCAGCTTTGAGTAAACATCCTGGGGCCCTGTTGTCCACCTTCGCAATTCGTCCATTCTTCTCTCTTCTCTCTTGCATGAAACTCAATTCCTTATAAGCTCTGTTTTTTTTTTTTTCAATCAATATGTTTATCAAAAAAAAAAAAATGTGCTACATATATGGTGTCGCATTTGAATTTGTTGTAAACAAACTGACCACATTGAATTATTAAGAGGAAGCAAATTGTTCTTTGGTTTTAATTCCTGAGACTCTTTTCCGTGTCCTCAGTGCCATCCATGTCCACATTATAATCTGTTGCAAAGTCCATATCTAATCATGATTGGATAACAAATGTGATGTTGGCATGTTTTGTAGAATATGAGAGATTTTTGTTCTTCAAAATGGAAGCATGTCATTCTTGTTGTGGTTGATGATCATTGGTTTTCATTGCTTGCCCTTGATCCACCTCTTGTCCTCCTCTTACTCCAAATATGGAGTTTGTACACCCATACAACAATTCTGTAATGTTTGGATCTAGAGTCATCATAGGAGTGGCCCTCCAAAATGAGAACTATTAGCCATGTTGGGCCCCTCTGCAACCTGATGTGTTGGCTTATTGATTCTTTTTCAGTTTAGTGGCTGATTGAGACACTTTGAACCATGAAGTATTTCTGGGCTTGCATTACCAAAGCTTAGAAAAAAAAAACAGATTTATGGTGTTCCAGGTTTAATGACCGCAGAAAAGACAAAACAAAAGGGGGAAAAAAGGACCACTAATCATATAAGTCAGTAGAAATATCAATGATTTGAAAGGGAAAATTAGGACTTGTGATTGTCACTAGAAACTTCATGGCAGATAAAATGAATGAGACTAAAAATGAACTGAGTTGTGTTAGAGATTGTTTGTTTGTACTTGGGTACCTGTTGAATTTTTTCAAAAAATAGGTACCAAGTACCGCACCAGGCACCTCCTGGCGGGTACCGGCGGTACTTTTGGCGGGTACCGCGGGTACCTCCCCTCTCTTTCTAACCTAGGTTCACTTTCAGATTACCAAGTCACTTTTTTATTATTATTTTTTTCATATTTATTGTAAAATATCAGTCCCAAGTCACGTTTTTTCCATTCTTTCATATTTATTGTGAAATGTTGACAACAAATTGGAAGAATCCTACTTTGTTATTATATTTTCATATTTATTGAAAATATCATTCCAAAGTCACTGCTTTTCCTTTTGTCATATTTGTTGTAAGACATCTTAAACTAATTGGAAGAACCTTACTTCATTATTATTATTATTTTCATATTTATTGTAAAACATCAATCCCAAGTCAATTTTTTCATTTGTTCACATTTAATAATTTATTTTAAAGCTTTAACTGTCTACAAATTATATCTAATTAGAAGAATCTTTATTGTTGTCCAAAACTATCACCTTCCTTTTTGAATTTTGGTTAGACTTCTTGTTATCCTTGAGTCCCTGTTTCCATGTAGCGAAGGTACCTTCTTGGAGTTCTTGGAGTAGAAGGCCACCATCATTTTGGTAGGGAAGTGAGGGGGTACCTGTAGCGGTATCTAGGTACCTGTTCAATTTTTCACAAAAATAGATACCAAGTACCGCACCTGGCACCTCCTGACGGGTGCGGGGCGGGTGTGAAGGGTACCCCCCAAGCGGTACTAGGTACCTAGCAAAGGGTACCGCGGAACGATCTCTAAGTTGTGTTGATGTGCTCCTGAGGTACATGCAGTGGCTTGATTAATTGATGATTTAGATATTTGAGTGTTGTGATTTTGAGATGTTGATATAACAGCTGTGTTGGATTGATTTCAGAAAGCACTGAGGAGATAAGATGCTATATGTTTCCTTGAGATTACAAAGATGACAAGAGATATCAGCCTTATAGATCCTCCATGTAACAAATCATGTAATATTTAAGGGGGCTTGTTGGAATTTCACTCGCTCTCTCTCTCTTTCTTACTCAAACCTGTCACTCCTTTTTTATGTCACTCATTTTCTATATTCATTATGCATTGTTGTTTGATCCCACAACCTGTGCTCCTTGTATCTAGACTACTTAAACTTACAAGATACAGGGATAATGAACACCATCGGTTCTTAGCTATTTTCTTCCGGTCCTGAGTCGACACGTGAGCCTCCTCTCAGCCTTAACTCAAAGCGCACTTAAGCCCGCTTTGTTAAGTTCAAATAGCATCCTACAGACTTTGTCTGCTTTCGGCATTGCCGACTTTTCCCCTCATCGTCCTAAATTTTATCACGATTAACAGTCGAAATCGACTGACCTTCCTCAATTCTCAACCTCAACAACCTTCCGACCTCAACTCTCACTTCTTAACGATCCCACTTCGCTCGAACTCAGTATGGCTACCGAAGTAGTTCGCGAATCTAAAATTCTTCTCACTCCCGATAATTATGCTCTTTGGCTGCTCCCAATGAAAGCCAAACTTCACAAAGCTAAATCACTCACCATCGTCACTGGTGCACATACCTGTCCTGACCCTAAAGAAGACAAAGAAAACGCCCGACTCTACGTCAAGCTCAACAAAGATGCGTATGCGGAAATCATCCAACATCTCAATCAAGAAATCCTTGCATATGTCAGTTCCACCCTACCCGAGGCCGATGAATTCAACGGTTACAAGCTCTGGCAACTCTTAAAACAAAAGTATGCCGGTAACGATCTCACCTCCAGAACCACTGCCCTCAAGAAGTTCCTCGCCATAGAATACGACTCGTTCTCGTTGTTCCTTCCTCTAGTACGATCGGCCAATCATAAGATCGTTCTATCAAATCTTGCTCTTGACGATCAAGTCAAGACCATTCTGATGCTTGATAAACTCCCTCAAGAATTCCATTCGTTCAAAACCAATATCTCAATGAATTTTGAAACAGAACCATTCGATCAAGTGTTAAAGAAGCTTGAAGATTTTGCCTCTCAAAATCAGCTGAATGAACTCAAGAAGACACCTAATCTGTCGCAAACGACTCTGTACACGCAATCCTCCGATCCTGAAGTCGTCTGTCCTCACTGCAAACGCGGATTTAGAGCCTGCTCCCACTGTTTCAAAAGCGGCCATACGGAAGGTAACTGCTTCGTCAAACATCCCGAGAAACGACAGCCTAAACCAGTTGCATCATCCTCAAAACAACACTCGGCCCATCTCACTCGATACACCCAAGAAGACGAGGAGTACCTCCAACAAAAATACCCTGATCTTCATCTTTAAAATCAAGTTGATCGTTCTCGAGCTCAGGAGGGGTGTTGGAATTTCACTCGCTCTCTCTCTCTTTCTTACTCAAACCTGTCACTCCTTTTTTATGTCACTCATTTTCTATATTCATTATGCATTGTTGTTTGATCCCACAACCTGTGCTCCTTGTATCTAGACTACTTAAACTTACAAGATACAGGGATAATGAACACCATCGGTTCTTAGCTATTTTCTTCCGGTCCTGAGTCGACACGTGAGCCTCCTCTCAGCCTTAACTCAAAGCGCACTTAAGCCCGCTTTGTTAAGTTCAAATAGCATCCTACAGACTTTGTCTGCTTTCGGCATTGCCGACTTTTCCCCTCATCGTCCTAAATTTTATCAGGGCTTAGAAAAACAACTGCTGAAAACTAGCCAAAGACTCCCATTACTGTTGGCAGACATCCAACGGTTTTTTTTTTTCAATTTGAGGGCAGAATAAGGGAGTTGTTGCTCCAATTTACCAAAAAGAAAATTATTATTATTTTATTAAAAATATGGGAGTTGCCCGTCTGAAAAGATCCTTACCTTTGGGAACTTTGGGAGTTGTTGTCATCTACTGCCCTCACTGAGATGAAAAAAGCACAGCCTTTTATATCAAGTCCTAAAGGCACTGTGGTCTGTATCAATGAAAAAATGATATCATTCATTGAAAAAAAAATCAGAAAGAAAGAAAGAGGAAAAAACAAGGGATAAAGGCAGGAAACCACAAAAGGGATGATGAAAGGAAAAAAAGGGTTCAAAGTGGATAATAAATAAAAAGGGTCATAATAAAAAAATGTGGTTTTGCAGCTGCGCAGCACATGCGGTTTCCTTGTTTGGACACATTCTTTTAATTGATTTGTTTTACCTTATTTTTCATATTTTTTTGGAATTTTAAATTTATTTCCTAGGTTATAATATGTCCAGAATTTAATGGTAAAATCCAATTTCCATAAAACTCAATGTTTCATTCTGAATATTTTAATTAATCATGTTTTTTGAATTAATTTTTTCCAGCTTAATTTTTATTATTTTTTGACATTTTAAATTTCTTTCCTACACTTTCAAGTATGCATAAAATTATGGTGACAATGATTGTGCATCAAAATAAAAAATATGTCTTGAATATTGCATTTGACTTGTTTTTTGATTAATTCTTACAGGCTTAATTTACATTATTTGGAATTTCAAATTTATTTCCTACATCTTCAAAGGTTTCAAAATTGATGGTATTTCTAGAATATTCCAGGAAGGTCATCAAGAGGGCCTTAGAAATATTTAAGGATGCCATCTCCATCCCAGGATTGGTTCCTCAGCGCATTTACCCCCAGTACCCTTAGTAAGTGCATCAAATATTCTCCACCTACCTTTAGAGTAGTTTATCCCCATCCCAACCCTACCTTATCCCTGGAATTATTATTAAGAAGTCCAGAATTATCCCAGATTCCCTTCTTACTTAATTCCTTAAAAATTAGTTGCTGCAAGACCATCACCTCTGACTGTAGCCTTTCAGCTTAAGTGATTTCCACTGCCAGATGAATATTGCTTCAAAACCATGTGCAATAACAGACCTTGTTATTGTCTCAAGTCCTACAGTCCTACTTTGATTATTCAAAGTTTACTTAACTGAGGAGTTTTGACTGAGAACCTCTTAAGTGGGAAGTTTGGACCACTTAATTATTTGAGGTTGACTAGGAGTAATCTTGGTATTTAAAACAATCCTTCAGCCAAGTGATAGTACCTTGCTTTTATATCAATCAGGCCAGAGTTTCATACACATAGCTGAGAAGAGAAGTTTAGAAAGTTGAATTGTTCTCAATTCTTTGTATGAGAAAGTGGTATCAAGCTTGCTTGTGAGAGGTATTGTTTTGAAAGGGGTAAATAATCACATCAAATATTTAAATATGTATGCTTATTCATTCCTTGATAGCACTAAGAGAGCCGTGATTCTCAAATCCCTTTGGTTAGTTCAAAAAAACTACATATAGATTCAAAGGCTGGACTCAATATTATGATTAAGGAAATAAAATGTGCACATTTTATAATTTCTTTGGCTTTGATTACATTCTCCTAGATACAATTGTTTAGATGAAATTTGAAACAGGTAATGAGGGTTTCTTTGCAAAAAAGTTGGGCTAAAAGTAGTTTGGCTCATCCAGAGTTTGCAGCGTCCTGCCATGCAAAATTTGTTCTTGTAAAAAGAAAATGTCTATATGGTTGTTTATATACAATTTCAGTGTATAACTGGTGTCCATTATGAGAGATTTAAACAAAGAAAGTGTGTTTATAACGGCATTAGAATTTGGCCTCCCTTTTTTTTGAAAAATTGGCTTCAAGGGGAAAGTGATTGAAATTTGTGGTCGGTCTCCTTCAATGGTGTTTTTGGCGATATTGAACCTTCGCTTGGATTTTTGTAGCTCCTGCTATTACGGTAAATTGATCCCGCCAGCTACGCGACACGCCTTGACGGTGGTGTGATGCTTCAGCATCTTTCGAACACCTGCGTAGATTCCAGAAAGATAAGCGTTCAGCGGCGTCAGAATCGTGTATTGTTTGAAAGGAGCTCTTACCAGCTCCTCTGGTATCGCAGACCGGTAAATTCATCACGCAGCGAGCATTCTCATCGGCGGGCAGGTTGGTTCTATTGAAGCCCAATATCAGTCCAGAAAAAAAAACAGTATCTTATTTTAAAAAAAAAATGATGCAGCTAGCGAAAAAAAGAAAGAACTTGCCCGTCTGCATACGGATCGTAATCAGGCCCCTTGCCTAGTTGGGAGCACTCAACTGCCTGTTTGACGATGTATTCCACCGATATGTGATACTTTTCCACTAGAAGTCTGGCGTTATAAAACTGATTTCCTGATTTACCGTCATCGTCATAGATTACGTTGTACATCCTTTGAAAAATTTTCATCAGGGAAAGTGAAATCAATTTACTGAAATTTTCTACCGCAAATCTGGTAACTTCACCAATACAGATGAAATTTGAAGCTCACAGTCCACCTGGCTTGTCGCAATAGCTCAACCACCCCTCGTCGAGGGAAAAAGCCCCGTTAGGTCCTTTTGAATAACAGCCCTCCTGAAATGAAATGTCATATCAATTTTCGTGCCAGTTGGATTCCAGACACATTTAAGGCGTTTGTAGAAGTTTGCTTACACCAATGGTAATAAATCCTTTCTAGAATTTTAGCCCAGTAACTGTGAGCGACTGTAGAATGTTCCTAAATTCATTTCATAAGCAAAACTCACCTTTGCCCTAAGTATTTGATTGGCGAATCTGATGGTGAGAATTCGAGCCATCTTTTTTTCTAGGTCATTTGAATCTTGTTTTTGATTATTACGACAATATTCGCCACCTTCTAACAGTCCAAAGAGCCCACGGTGGCTACTGATAGGATACTCGACCATGTCCTTTACTCGTTTACCGATCTCGGTTTGACTTTTTGACTGCCAATCTGAGATACGACCCTCATAATGTGACCACTGAAAATTCAACTGTCTCAGTACTCTGGACCCATTAGAACATATTATTCGAGGCTGGGAGAGCCGTTTGAGAGAGAAGTCTTACTTTAGTGAATGTATCTTGATTCCCGGCTTCGACTTCCTCAGCTTGCGCTTTCAGTATCATCGTCACCTGTGCGATTGCTATCATTGCACCCGCTGTAGCAAATACGGCAAAGGCTACCGTACCAGTAACAGTCATAAAAACCTTCATCCTGTCGTCAAAATTATCGCGCAGCTTTTGAATGTGAAAAAATATAATACTTACTACAGCGGCTATCATAGCTGTGACGGCCAGGGCCATGGTAAGAACCATTGCGATGGATTGGAACAATCGGTATTTCTTTTTGGCATCCTGCAAATATCTGAAATCGTCATTTAGTAAATCAAATGGACAGTTTTGCAAGGAAGGTTTACATCGGCTGCTGGTACTCACAGGTCATTTACCAGCTCTGCTCCAATGGCTAAATAATGATAATAATAATAAGAAGAATAAGAATAATAAGAATAATAATAGTGATAATAAGAATAAGAATTAAACAAAGCGTTTAGTTGCGTTGAACATGAATACCTACTTACCTTTGGCTTGGCCGGCCGCGAATCCAATGGCTGTAGAGAGCGAATTAAAATACATGGTCGCTTGCTCAACGGCGGCGAGGACCCACCATGCTCTTCCGCTTATGGGGGAGCAGAGCTGGTTATTATGATCATGGGGGAGGTCAGCTCTAGAAAAATTGGGTTCCCGGAGGAATGACTGACGCACCTGACCGGCTGAGCAAAATTGGTTCATCCCACACGCAAAGTTGATAGCTTTATTTTCCGCGGCGAATACCTGTAAGAAAATTAAGTGCATAAGATTAAGACATGAGGTTCAGATTTTCGACATTCGATAGTCAAGTGTTCTGTGAACTGACTGTTAGGTTTGCTACGAGTCCCCGGGGATAAGTTTTGATGTATTCATCAATCCGGAGTTCTTTCCAGGTTTTTGGGCTCAGTGGCTTCCGGCCGCATTTGTACGGTTGGAACGGTTTGGCGCCTAGTGGTAGCTTGTATCCTACCCCTCCATCTTGAACTGGAAATTTTATAAAGCCCAATGGACCCATTAGAAGGGTTCGTAATGAGCAACGCAGGCAATGTCGGTGTAATTCACTCCTACAAGGGCCTAAAGGTGGTACATGGTGGAATAATTTGAAGAAAGGGCAGACTCACACAGTTCTTGCCGGGCGTGCAAAACGTGTCGTGGACTGGAGTTTTGCCGGCCTGAGTATACTTGAAGAGCGTGTCCATTGGCCTTTGGTAGGATTAAGATCAACAGGATTTGTAGAATCACCTGCATCAACAGAGTTTTAGAAACATATATTCTTGAATGCGAAAAACTTCTGGCTTGCATTCGTGGATCTGTCGTCCTAAGAATCGGATGAGAGTGCGAGCTGCTATTGACAATTAGAAAGAAAGAGCAAAGAGTGAGGGGATTGATCAGCTCAAGAGCACGGTACTGCGGTACAAATACCTTCCCGTAGTGACGTAAAGCTCTGAAACGCTACCAATCCACATGATCAAGTTCATGGATGAGCTCCGGGTCAGCTCGTCAAGGTGATTAAGGCTTTCTCGGGCTTCTGGCCGCAGATCACTGCCGGTATGTAGCCCCAGCCGTCGGCAGCGGAGTTCAAATGCATAACAGCAGAGAATTCGAAGACTTTTCACCATAATAACGGTGTTGGAAGGTCTTGGAAAGGCATTAACGTCAACCAAGATTCGCGCATTCTGTAAGGTCGCCTGTATGCGCATAGAGCAACCCGGTGTCCTTGGTATTCCTTTAAGGCTTACTCCACGGGCAACGGGGGCCACCGCCTGTATTGTAATAGCTGGGTAAACGACGAGTCCTGTATGCTCACAATTTCTTTGCTTCTCACTACAACAGACTCCAGAGGGCAGTTCATTCTTGTCCGACCAAAGGTTTCATCACCAAAGAGATATGTACACATTGAAGACCGACACATTTATTCAGCACCTTGTGCGCCTCCCTAGAGGCTAGATGTGAGGGGCGGCGCAGACCGGTCATTTGAACAGTAATTTTCTCTTAAAATGTTGAGGTCCAAAAGTGAAGCAGATTGGAGTAATAAGAGGTGGCTCGGGTTCAATAGGCCTCAATGCACACTTCCATTCCTGTCTTACTTTTCCTCTCTCGCTTTCATTCACGCGATTGTTTCCTAAGTCTCGTCTGCATAATCTATATCTTAATCATGTTGCAGTCATCTCATGTGTTTCTCTCAGTAAGATCTCAGCTCTCATTTCTTTGGCTCGCTGCTTATACTCAGCTACAATTGCATCAGGCGTTTCTCGTATTGTAATTACCACAGCGTTTGGAATCTACGGTTTGGTAAAACTGATAGAAGTAGAGGAGAAAATGAAACTTGTTGTGTGCACTGAATTCTTGCTATCGAATGCTCTTTTTTTTGCGATTTCGATTGATGTACATTTCTCAGCTGGGCTGAGGTTTGACAATTAATATACCTGGGCGCTCAATGCCGGTATCAAAACAGCCGGCTCGCCGAAGCTTTCATAGACCGACATCATACGGGGGATTGGGCAACTCGATGCGCTTCGACGGAGAAGGCTTCGGATGGTGAACGATTTTTGTTGTTAGCCGCTCCCGGGAACCAGACCCTTTCTGCCGACTTGGACATCCTGAACATTTTCGGGCGACCGCCTTCCTCGGTGACTGGCCGTGCGATAAACAGCTCCGGAGAAGCGCTGAAAACGTCGGTATCCTGACCTTCGTTAAGTCTCCAATACTCGAACCGTTTCATGAATACGTAAATTATGACCGCTAGCAGGGAGCCTATCGTGGGCCCAACCCTGCAATATCATTCAGCTCTGGGCCTCAGCGTCAAGTCTCTTGAGATGATTCGGCCATATCATGCGAATCTTGAGTATTGACCACGTACCAGTAAACCCAATGATCCTTCCAAGACCCCGTGACCGCGGCTGGACCAAAAGCTCTTGCCGAATTCATCGCCGCACCCGTGTAAACAACCCCCTGCGAATCGTGAATATATTTTTTAAGTTTCATTTCAATCTGATTGATTCCTCAACTGTGAAGGCATTTTTATCATCAAATCGGAGTAGAACTGGTGGATTCAAATGACTCACAAACAAATGACAAGCAAACAAAGTGATGCTTATTCCTACGGGGGCCAAAAACGTGGCTTTATGTTTTTCAACCGCCAAGAAAAGTACTGAAAGAACCAAACTACATGTGATGAATGCCTCGATAAGGACCCCCTGTGCCACACTCGTGCCTACCGCAAGGTTTGGCACGACGGACATTGGTCCGGGCAAGAGTCGCTTCAAAAGTGCTGATGCGACTGAGAAAAGGTCGTCCATTTAGGATTGCAAAGAAATCGAATAATCAAAAATCAATAGGTAAGATGGTGCTCTCCCAGCAAGAAAGCCCGGGAGCAATAAATCTCACCCAACGAAGCCGAAAGTTGCGCGCCAACATACAGAACAAAACGCGTGGGTGTGATAACACCAGTCAACAAAAGCGCTAAAGATACGTTACTTCGATCATGTAATGCGGATGACCAGAAGCTTGCATTAATGACAAAAACCTAACGAAAACGGCGACTCTATTCACGGTAGACGCTTGGAGACTTACGGGTTGAAAGCAGCACCAGTAGCGCGAAAGAAAATCCAAGCGGAAAACAGTAAACTTAAACCCATCGAAGTAGAAATATACATCAAATGCTGATAATATGAAAGAAATATGAAATTTTATTTCAGAGTCTTATACCTTCTTGGAAAGAACCATGGACTACTAGATGATTCGACTTACCTCGATGTTAGGCACTGTGGAGGTTGAAGCCAGTGTAGGTAATCCGGCTTGGTTAGACGTTGCCGCCGCCTACGGAAGTTTGTCAGAGCAAGTCACAGAAATCATCATTTCAGAAACTAAACTCTAGGATATGCCGTCGCCCTTTGGGAGTGATCAAGAAAAAATGAAAATCATTCTAACCTGGATTCCCCCGAGGCCAACCAGGAGAAAAGCTATCGTACCAACGAATTCCCCAGAGGCAGCCATGAAGTCGGCGCTTGGGAACAAAGAACAAGGGGATTCGATTCGATTTAATCGATACGTCCTTATTCAAAATTTAAAATTCCGTAGATAGGTCAACTCACCGAAAGTTTACTAATGGATGGCCCCTCAGGTGACTCCAGTCAAATTTTTTAGTTATTTTCTCGGGGTGGGTTAAATTCATGACCACTAGTCAACCAAGAGAACAATTTTTTAATGACCTTCAGATGCAAGCTGTTAGGTGTGAGTTGATGATTTGAGGGTGACTGCTCTCCTCTTCTTTATACCCCAGAGCCTCTCCGCACTCTGAAAGACATCCAGGCATCTTGCGTCAACTCTATGGTGATCGGTGCATTTCGAGATTATGAATTGCTACACGATAATTAACGAGAGAGAAACAAGCCTATAACACCCGATTTTTGTACGATAATCAAATGTTCATGTGAGTGATTTTCTGATCGATCTTCATAGAATTAAGCATGACGAGGTTCAAACATCTCAAAATTGCGGACGAACACCGATAAGGGTTCCGCGTAGAAAATCATTTGTAATTAGTTGAGATTCTGATCTTGCAATTTGTTGATTTGATCTGATGGAACTGTGCCGCAATGTCATCGGGACTCTGTTTGAACTGCCATCTTCGGCCGTTTGACCTTATCTCTTATGGAGCATGCTCAATAGGAATGATGCCTGTGGACCATCTGCGCACACTCCAGACAACCCGAGCGTCAAATATCCTATGAATTACAGTTGCCCGTGATCAGCTACATCAAAGAGCCATGGGTCATTTGTGAATCGAGGCTGTCGCGTGACATCTGAACCTCCGCACCAACGACAGAACACGCACAGAATAAAGAGAAATGGTGGATGTCGATGTTGAATTTGTTAATACGGTGTTACGGGCCATGCGGTGGGTTAGAGGCCGCAGATATTCATGAAATAGTTCAACCATCGTCGGGAGATTCTGAAGGGACAAGCTGACGATGACAGCTGGTTAGTTTGAAAACCATTTGTGGTTCCCGACTTGCTTAATCTTTCGAAGGAATGCCACACTGACCACTGAGGGCTTTTTCTCTTCGGTTCACTTGATGATCGAACCACCTGAGGACAAATTCATATAATCTCTGAAAGGGGAGCAAACAGCGATAGAAAATCACAAAGATCGTTTAATTTTGTTTGACTCCCCTCCCGAGAGATGGCCTGATAGAAGCTCAAGTGCTCACCAATCGCACACAATAGAGCCTTTGGCGCGTGCTGCAAATACAAGGGACACCTCGTAAGTTGTAACCCTCGTTTGCCATCGTCAGATGTAAACTTTTGAAACAGCATCACATGCGTCAAAAACCCACGCTGCTGGGCATTACTCACAGTAATGATCAAAATAGATGATGTTTGGCATACCATCTGAACAAGGTTGCAATTGTACTCTGAATCAAGTTACACATACAACGATCTTGGCGTTTTCAATGCCAAAGGCAGTCCAGGTTGAGTATGAATCATGTTTTATTTGAGGAAGGGAAGACGAACAATGAAGAAGAACGGTCCAAAGCTTACAAGGAGAAAATATTATGAAATATGAAGATTTGGGGAAGAGAGGGAAATCAAAATGCGATTTTCTCGTTCTTTTGTTGTTAGTCGAGGCGATCATCACATAATTGAACAGAGAAGTAAACAATAGAAAAAAATATCAATGAGGGGGAGTTAGGAAGCCAAGAAAGGAGTGAAAAGAGCAACGATCAGTGAAAGGTCGATAATATGCTGGGAAACAATTGTCGCAAAAGACGGTGCTTACAAGTTGTAGAACTTCACCGAGGACGGCTTCGAAAGAGGCAGTGTATTCATCTTCATCGGCTTGAATTTTCGCAGCTTTGGTTGGATCTGCTGCCACCATTGCCTTTTTCTTTTCAGCAAATCTGATACAGACAAACAAATATGGTTAGAATCTTCTTCAAGGTTTCATCAGTCATATCAATAAAAGAAAAAAAAGGCGCCCGGAGCATCGAGACACAAGGGGAGAGGGAGAATTAAATTTACTTCTTTTGTATGGCTTCACTTCCACCTCGCGTAGTGGAAATCATCACACAGCTCGTTGGCCGTTTTGTGGAAGAAGCTGCTCCAAGTGATTCCTGCCATGAGAGTTAAGCAATCCGTTCCATATTGGGTCAGCACAAATAGCAATTGAATCTTATAAAAACAATTTGATAAAAGTTCACCTTGGTAGGCACAAAGATATATCCAGATCCGTTTTCCTCGGCTAACAAAGGAATATGTGTCAAGACATCCATGGGTGAAATATCTCCGGCCATCACAACCAACCTGATGTTTGAGAAGCAAAAAAGCTCATTTAGAATTTAAACAGAAGGTACTAAATTGGTCAAAATTTAGCTCACCCTTTCTCACCCTTCCTCAACGCTTTGACTACTTCCTTGACACCTCTCTTAATTCGTCTTTGTTTCGAACCTGGCGCAGAGCAATCAAAATTTGCAAGATGATGAGCGGAAGTGAATCATCAAGTTATTTTTGTGACTATTCAAAAACGAATCCTTCATATTAAAAAATGAAATCAAACCTTTTTTGACCGTTCTCAAGACCCGCTTGCTCAATTTCTTATCGGCCAGAGGATGAGCAATAGGACTCATGGCGTCCAAGTTGATGTTTTGGTCAGCATCGTTTTCAGCATCGGCCGATTGTTTGGCCTTCTTCTTCTTCGAGCTTTCGTTCTCAGCCTCCTCATTATCAGTAGTGGTGGTTGTTCCCTTTTTCTTCTTCTCTTTCTTCTTGTTTGGGGTCGTTGTCGTCGGTTCGGTTGGTTGGGTTGTGTTCTCTACATCCGGAGCCTCAGTGGTGATCGATTTGCGTTTCTTGGTCGATTTTTTCTCCGATGGGGGTTTGGAATTGGTGGCGGCTTGCTCTTCCATTTCGATATCTGCGGACATGGTTTTGTTGTGCTTGGGGGTTCGGGTAGGTTGACTTGGTGAAGTGGCTTGTTGTCGGCGGATTGGTTGAAATATGTTGCCCGAGTCTCGAGAGGAGAAAAACACCCCGAAGTGGAGGATGGGCCAAATCCCATTTTGAATATTCATATTCAATATGCCCCGACTATTCAATTTCAACTCTCCATCATCGTCACTCATTCCAAATTAACACTTCCTTGGCATTCAAGACGAAAGCAAGTTCAATTCTTCTTTCCATCAATCAAACATTTCTGGGAACCTCCCACCTAACAGCTCCCAAAAAGTCGTGGGGGAGAACTCGGTCCCGAGAAACACTGTCATTTTGTGAAGATAAACAGCAGTGCTTTGGCAGTTTTGCAATATAGAATACTGACAGCTTCAGAAATCAAACATTGGTATTTGGACTACTATCACAAATCATAAATGAGTAATATGAAGATACTTGAAAATTGGCAGGATATTCCAACAGGCAAATTTTAGATCTATTGAAAGTGGTTTTACTCCTTGGCCGAGATAAAAGACCACCTCAAGCCCTCTAGGCTCACCCTCTTCCTGAATCAGCCTGATAAAGGCGCTCATGAGACTTCAAAAATTTAGTGCAATGCTTTGGTTTGAACAAGTAAATTTATACAAATTATCTATCATTTCTTTGTCTTTTGAGTTGGGAGGTACTGCTGAATAGCGTTACGACTACGAGTTTTACACATCGAGCGTGCGTGGAATCAAGTGGAACCATATGTACAACATTCACCTAAATATGGATACTACACCATTTCATTTTGCGATCTTGGCGGGATTGCATGACTTATTGACATCTATTTCCCAGGCAGAATTCGGTAGTATGGGC